TGGACATTTATTCACACACTCTTTTTTCTTGAGAATAATTCACATTCTCATTTTTTGTGAGAAAATATTTCACTCTTCATCAAAATATGTTTGGAGTGTATCTCTTCTACCCGGCCCGAAAGTCTGAGACGCAACCACGAAGCCCCTAAAAAATGCATGCGTTACCACAACTCACTCTCACACAAAACTTCCGTTTTCACAACTTCCGTTACATGTGCTAAAAAAAGCATGCGTTACCCCTCAAAAAAGAAAAAGAAAAACACTTGCGTTGGCAAAACAGATCAGGCCGCCGCCCCTTGCTGTCTTTGATCTCCACCCACCGCCTCCTTCTCGCCGTCTTGGATCCCCAGTCCACCCACCGCCTCCTTCTCGTCCAGCCCGCCGCGCCCATGGATTCTCCGTCCAATGAGGCTGCAGAACAGCCGTCCTCCACCCTCCCCAACGATCTGATCGAGGACATCCTCGCGAGGATGCCGGCCAAATCGGTGATGCGCTGCCGCAGCCTCTCCAGCGCCTGGGCCGCCGTGCTCTCCTCCCAGGGCTTCGTCGACTGCCACCTCCGCCTCACCAACCACTGCGGCTCCCCCAGGCTCTTCATCCTCTCGGAATTCAACTGGATCGGGTAGAATTCAGTCACGCAAGTCCATTTCAGCCTACGTGGTTCCATGAGGGCATGATGGATCAGGTAGAATTCAGTCATGCAAGTCCATTTCAGCCTACGTGGTTCCATGAGGGCATGACGCGAAGCTCTATTGTTGCTTGACACCACGGGACATGTTGGCTTCTCGATTTCTATGATGTAGACAACTGTGGAGAAGGTCATGGTTGCTAAGATTGGAGGATCGGTTAGACGGACAGGTCCTTTGAGGCGATGGAGTCAACCAGGTGTTTGATAACTCTCGGGACCAGCATTGTCAAGTGGGGGCGGCAACATTAGAGGAATTCATTTTTGGTAGTGCTCCTCATGGGCCGAGCCGAGACTTTTAGGGTGAAAATCTAAGGTGTGGCCTTCATTGCTTGTAATTGGCAATTGCCTTACCGAAGGTATTGTTTTGAGAGCTCGGACTTCTCCAGAGTGAAGACCTAAAATCTTGGATCGGGCAACGACAGTGCTTGTGCACTCCTTCTTGGAAGCATTGCTTTTGAAGACATTTTATGTTTTCAAGGTGTTGTATTTTGTGATCAATCAGGTTGCGGCCGTTGAGAGGAGTCGATCACTGTGTCGGGATCTTTGTTTTTTTTCCTTTCTTTTTATTTTTTCCTTTGGCTGCGTGCATCCTGGATGTCTTTGCGACATCTTCTAGGTGCAGAGGCTTCGTGTAAATGGTATCTTCGCGATACTAATATATTCCCTTGTAAAAAAGCAGGCTTATGTTAGCATAATTTTGCGGTCGACTCCCTCAAATATCCAATTCCGGCAAAATCAGACTAGGGATAGATGGAGTACTTGGTTACATTTTGTTCGAAGGCTCATGGAGGTGACAATGAGCCAGATGTGTTCCAATCTAGGTTATCTCCTTCGTGAGTTTTTTTCGTTAAGTCGATGTATATGGACTTGAGGTAGTAAACAATGTTGTTTGTTTGATCAAAAGAAAATGATTCATCAATTTTTTGTTTGCCCATTTGGCAAGATAATATGGCCCACAATTCATGTGACTTTTAATGCGCCTGCAGCTACCAGTATATCAAATATTGTTGGTAACTGGTTAGGTGGGGTAGACCCTAAGACTATAGAGAGAATACATTTCGGAATATGTGCATTGCTTAAGACTGTTTGTAAGTGTAGGAATGATTATGTGTTTAACAAAGTAAAGATTGATACTTATTTGCAGGTTATCTACAGAGCTTCGGGTATGTGATCCTTACTTTACCATGCGAAAGTGCCGGGGATTATGGTCTATGGCTGCAACCGATGAGAAACGGTAGCAGGGAACACGTACGATCGGTTTGGATGGTGATCCAATACTAGGCTATGTGTGTAGGAATATATTCCTAATCTCGCCGGTTTTCGATGTTTCTATTGTAATGTTGTTCTATAGTACCAGAGCTTGACACTTGAACTTATGTAATAAATGGTCATGTGCATCAAAATGATGCAGAGACCGGGGTACGTATTCCTTCGTTTCCAAAAAAATATATATACCACCATTGATCCAGCTAACTCAGTGTTGTGCGGATTAGTCCCATGGCAGTTAACTACGTCATGGGGTTGTGAGTGGTTGCGGCAGAGGTTTTGGTGAGAGCATCTCCCCTATTCCAATGTTGTGTGGTGCACTTTGTGGAGGCAGAGGGTCTTTCCTTTTTTTTCTTTTTTTGGTGTGTGGTGCACTTTGTGTTTGTGGGGCCTTAGTTCTTAGTTCTCGTTCCATACTCCTTTATATGAGTAGGGTCACACATTGTCTCGCTAAAACGAAACTATATATTGTCACCTATAGTTTATTGTCGTAATAAATGATGACCCTCTATCCCCTTTTCTGTTCAACCTAGCGACTTTAATCATATGATTATTAAATCATTGGTTGTGGGAAGATTAGTAGGCCTGGTACCTCATCTGGTGAATAAATGATTCACTGTGTTACATTATGTGGATGACATGATCATGTTTATCCAAGACGATTTTTATCAGGCTCTTCATGTGAAGTTGATTTTGTAACTGTTTGAAACTATGCCTGCCTTAAAATCCTTTTTTACAAAGAGTGAGGTGCTTATGATTCTGGATGAGAGAAGCAAAGGATTAATGTTTCTCGACTTGTTTGGCTGCCAATTGGGGGCCTTGCAAATATTTGGGTGTTCCAGTATGTGGCTCCAGGTTGCATGTTTGTGATTGGAAATTCTTGATAGAGAAATTATTGAGAAGTCTGGATGGGTGGATTGGTTTTATCTTGTGCCTTGCTGATTGACACTTATAACCTGTAGTAGCATTCCCATTTATCATATGCCTATGTTTGTACTTCATGAAACTATGCTAGAGAAGATGAATAAAAACATCCAGCGTTTTTTTCTGGCAATGTGGGAGCTGTAATAGAAAATATTATATAGTCGGGTGGGATTTGATTTCTAGTCCCAAGGTGAAAGGTGGTTTGGGGGTTAAACCTCTAGACACCTTAATGTGTCTTTGTTATGCAAATGGTCGTGCAAGTTGGAGTCTGGAGATGGTCCTTGGCAACAACTGTTTAGAGCGGAAGATAAAATACATGGGAGTATTTTGTCAATTTGACACAAGCAAACTGATTCAGCTATTTGGTATGATTTGTTGAAGGTGAGGGACATATACTTAAAAGGGGGGAAGTTGGCAGTTGGAAATTGAAAAAAGACAGATGTTTGGCAAGATTCTTGGTGTGGTGATGCTCCTTTGAGTGTCATTTGGACACAAATTTTTGCAATCAGTTTAGATGTTGGCAAAACTGTTGCTGTCTTGCCAAATTAAAAATGGAGTTTGAGATTCAGGAGATGGTTGACACCTGAGTTGCAGTGCTTTGAATGAGAATCTTGACTACCGTAAGTGGAGGTTCACTAAATCTGTCAAGTACTCTGTGAAATCACAATATATCATCACCTCTTTAGTGAGGTCGCAAATAGAGCGGTTCAACTAATGTGGATAACCAAAATCCTTTAAAAAATTAAAATGGCTTTGGCTTATATGGCATAATCTCATTGCTACCAAAGAGAATATAAAAAAGTGGAACTGGGTTGTAAATTTCACTTGCAGTTTTCTATGAGGAAAATGAAACCATTAATCACTTTTTTTTGCCTGTTTGGCTTCTTCTTCTGTAGAGTTTTATTTGTAGCACGGCTGGTCTGACTGATAGACCCTCATGCTCCATTCAATATTTCATCTGGGTGGCTGATACATTTCCCTTGGGGATTAATTTGCATATTGTAGGTATTGCAGCTTCTTGTTGGTCTCTCTAGAAGACCCGTGATAGAGCTTACTTTGATAAATAGTTGCCCTCAGCTCATGTTGAGCTAATCTGCTATTTATGTGGTTTTTTGCGTCATTGGGTATGGTTGCAAAAAGATGGTAACAAACTCATTCTCTTGGATGGAGACTTGAGCTATCAGGGTTCATGATGCTGCACGCAGGACTCTGGCTGGTGCTAGGCTACAAATTACTGATGGCATTGCTGAAGATGGAATGGCTGAATATCAGCTGGACGATACTGATGATGGGGTGATCCCTGATGATCTGACGGAGAGTTGATTGACGACTGGTTGTTGGTGCCTAGACATTGTTGTTGTGTGCCGTAACTTTGGACACAATGTAGTAAGTCTTCATGGATGTGGTGCTCTTCCCATGTTGTTTTCAGATACCTTGCTTTGTACTAAATGTTTAATCTTCTTATTTGGAGTTCCTCTGCGTTGCCCAGTTCTTATGTTGCATTCTCATGTTCCTATTCGTTTTCTCTAGTTTTCTTTTCTTTTCAGTTTTTATTCTTCATATGAACGTTGACTGTTCCGTTATATATATAATGGAACCTGGCTCCCGGTTGGGAGGCATATGGAAGAAAAAATATGGGTTACGCAAACGAGCGAACGAGCAAAGAAAAAGTAGGTTAGGAAACATAGGCATGCTAGAACTGGCTATGTGTTGATCATTGAAATTTGCCAGCCACGACAGTTACAGCATATCTGACGAAATGACTAACTTTATTTTGAACATTGTAATACTTTTTTCGTACATACTTGCAACACACGGCCAGGGAGGCCACTCACTACTGGTACCGGTAGTAGTAAGACATAGTGTAACATGTGACAGTACACGTACCACCATTGTTGATCCATGCATGGATACACAACCAGTGATGCGTGACAGAAATAAATGACTGAGAAAGGAAAGGAAAATAGATGACCATGCATTCCAACATACATACTTCCATCATGTTCGCTGCAGGTACTGGTAAATAAACTTCGAAGTAGTGACTGGCACGCATGGCCAGCAATGGCGTACCCGGCCAGGTGGCAATTAGGGATTCGTGTGAACCAAGAGGGCCTCGCACAACCTGTTGCAACTGGTCAGGCAAGGGCCGATGGCCTGGTTCACGCAGGCCTGGTCCAACGCTACCAGCTCCGGCGGCGTGATGGTGCAGATAGGGTTGCACATCACCCTGCCAAAGAAGTCGCACACAAGTCTGCATCGTTGGCGGCATGGCGTCTCGGCACTAGGGCAAGCTAGGCCGTCCATTATGTCGGCCATCACTGGCTGCCCCGCGGTAGACAGGAGGATGACCAGCACGGCGCAGATGGCTGCCATCTTGAGCGCGGATGCAGCCATTGTTGGCTGGACGAAGGAGGTAGTGGCTGGGCTGGGCAGCTAGGTAGATTGATGGGTCTCTGGAAGTGAGAATGTGTGGTGCCCAGATGAGAGCGGAGAGATGCTCTTTTTATAGGCACACCACATATATGCAATGCTACTATAGCTCTATTTATCGCCAAGTTACTTAGCCATGGAGTATGTATGCACCTTTGGGTACGTGTTGACTTCATCACTCCAAGTGGGTTCTGCAATTCATTCTAATATATATGTAGTATCGCGTTGTCAGCCAAAATCGAATCACTCACGTGATCGCATGTCCCCTTGATTACTCTGTACGAAGCATATAGACTACACACTGTGGTAGTGTATATATCGTTCTTTTACAGGATGTGTATATTCAGATAGCACATCGCCGCATTGCAATATTTTTCCCTTTGGAAATATGCAATTTCAGGCGTGTAAGTTTCAGCCATTCGAGAAAGTAGTTTTTGCCAAGCGTATCCTTGAAGTATACGGTGCCTTGCTCAGTAAACCCCACAGAAAAAAATAACGTGCTATAGCGCCGCTAATAGCACGCTATAGCGTGTACAGAATTGTCTCGCTAAATTCATCAGTGTACAATGTCTCGCTACTATTGGTCTATTTATCGCCAAGTTACTTAGCCATGGAGTATGTATGCACCTTTGCGTACGTGTTGACTTCATCACTTGAAGTAGGTTCTGCAATTCATTTGTGACAAGTATTATTCTATTATAATACTATATATACGTAGTATCTCCTTGTCAGTCAAAATCAAATCGTTCACGTGATCACATATCTCCTTGATTACTCTGTACGAACCATGTGGACTACACAAAAAGAGGAGAAAGTATTTCATCATAAAGGTCCGTTTGCAGTAAGTGTACGGTACAAGATCTCCATATCTTTTTCATTAGGTAATTGTGCAGGCTATGTACTATATACCCTTTCTTTCTAGTACTACTGCGACTAATCAGGCACCATGCATGTTATGTGTTGACTTCAAGACGATTATACAATTAAGTCGTGATGCATGCGCATGTACTAGTAGCACGATTTGCCTGTCGACTAGGCAAGTTGTTAGGTGAACCGGCACTACCTGTGCGTACTTCAACTCTCATGTCAGTTATTGCATGTTGTACTTCTGAGCGTTGATAAACTGCCGCTGCACACAGTGACATGAGTTACTGTCCCATGGCAGTAAACAAAAGGAGTTATTGTCCCATTGTAATTTTGATTGTTGGGCTTTTTTATTACGTTTCACAATTTACCAAGTGCTAATATTTGGCAAAAAAGGAAATTGAGAGAAAAAGGCCATTTTTTTGCTGGGAAATTATCAGTCATTTTGGAAGAGGCCGAGAGCAAATAGTCAAGGGCAAAACCACCAACAACTGGGAAAAGGCTTATAGGTGGACTCAAATTAGTGGCAGGCCTGTCTGGCACCTGCGACTGCTATTTTTAAAAATTTCTAGTTGCGGGGGCAGAAAAGATTACCACTAGGGAGTAGAGAGGAAGACGTTGAGACTAGGTGGAGCATCATCGCAACTAAACTAGGTCTGCTACCACTGCTTCTTGGAGTCAGCCAGCTCCAGATTGAAATACATGGACCACAACCTCAGCTAAATATCAGCTCCACCACATTTCTAGAGACCATACTCAACGCTACTCATCTGGCCTTCCACCCACAAGTATTTGTTTCATAGATCAACTTGTGGTTGCATACCCAAGAAACACGTGCACATCCGATGAAGCAAGTGATGTGCAGCACACGATTGGGAGATATTTGATGGATTAAATACCATAATAAAATAGAAGGCCACAAAGAAAATCATAAAAAGGTATGTCCAACCCTTGTAGCGTTAACAACACTAGCTCCTGTGGGTTCGGATCCAGAGCTCCGCCCTCCTGTCCTGGCGCCTGCTAGAACACGTTCTCTCGATGCTGCAAGCGCGTGAGGTTGGCTTTCAGTTTGAATTTTCATGTGTTATCGCTGATTATGGTTATTACGTGCTCTAAGTGGGTAGACAAACTACGGTACATGCTCGAACTTTGTGTGGCAGCAGTGCCGGAGGGGGAACATGACGGAATGGTGAAAGTACATGTCAAATGTCACTTCGGTTTATGACCTCACCTAATCAAGGCATGTTCCAAAAATTTCAGCCATGTACGTACCAACGACTCCTCTTACTAGTTATAATGAAGGCTTCGGTGCCCCACGCGTCTACTGTACCGTGTAATTGCATTAACTACGGCAGATACGGCAGACGATTGGACGTTGGTTACATAGGGCCTGGGCTACTCTATATTTACGGATGAATGGACGAGGCTATGTGGGATCGACACACACTAGTAGAAAAAGGATCAAACGTGAAGCACATTAGTGCCGGTTTGATTTTGGCCCGGTACTAATGGTACCATTAGTGCCGGTTCAAACGGATTTGCATTAATACCGGTTCGTGTTGAACCTTTAGTACCGGTTCGTGGCATGAACCGGTACTAAAGGGGTGGTGGCAGGCTGGCGTGAGGCCAGGGCCCCACGAGCCTCTTAAGTCCCGGTTTGTGGCACAAACCGGTACTAAAGGGCCAACCTTTAGTACCGGTTCGTGTCACGAACCGGCACTAAAGGGGTCTAACCTATAGTCCCGGTTGGAGTCACAAACCGGGACTATAGGGCAATTTTCAAACTTGAAAAAATCATAACTAAATCATCCTAATTCAGAAAAATACATATAATATATCAAAATTTGCAGAACAAAAAGATTGATCCGCTAAACAAAAAGATTGAAAAAAATCATAACTAAATCATCCTAATTCAGAAATATACCAGTTTTCCGTTTCGACAATTTTTTAAAATCACAAAATTCCAAAGGGAAAATAGAGTTTTTGGGCCTTTTAGACGTTTTTAGACGTTTTTAGCGTTTAGTGCTAGGGTTTACATTTCAGAGTTTAGGGTTAGGTTTTATGGTTTAACCCTTAGTTTTTACTGTTTAGCATAGAGATTCCGACATTTTAAGTCCCGGGTTTAGGGTTTAGGACAATTTTTGAAATGACAAAATTGTAAAAGGAAAAAAAAGATATGCTCTAATTTATGTTTTTTTGAATTTTGGTTAAATCTTGTCAAACCGGTCAAACAACTGATTCAAGAAATATAGAGTGTTACTAAATAATTATGCAATAATATTAGTGTTACTAAATAAGTATCTCAGTTTTTTTTGAATTTTGGTCAAATCTGGTCAAATTGTGGTCAAACTATGGTCAAACTACTTATTCAAGAAATATTAGTGTTACTAAATAATTATTCAAGAATATTAGTGTTACTAAATAATTATTTCAATTTTTTGAATTTTGGTCAAATCTGTTCAAACTATGGTCAAACTGTGGTCAAACTATGGTCAAACTTATTCAAGAAATATTAGCTTTACTAAATAATTACTGTTTTTTTAGAATAATAGTTTCAAACTCAAACGGTGAAATGTGTGACTTCATGCTCAAGCTAAACTCCTGAGGGTTAATAGGATTGACATCTTACTATTGTCAGGAAAACAACAAGTGCAGACTCGGAAACGAAGGAGAATAGAACCTGAAAGTTAAGCGTGCTCCGGCTGGAGTAGTGAGAGGGATGGGTGACCGGTCGGGAAGTTAGATGATTTGGAATGAGTGATCCACACTTGAGTAGTTAAGAGAGGTGATTAGAGACTAAATCATCAAATAATTCAGAAAAATTATAAATCGAAAAAAATTCAAAAAAAAAATTCCAAAATTTTCAAAAAAAAATTCAAAAAAAAACCTTTAGTACCATATCAGGGCGCGAGCTCACGCCAAGTGGTGGCACTTTAGCGCCGGTTCGTGCCGAACCGGTACTAAAGGGGGCGAGTCTTTATTGCCTACACTTTAGTGCCAGTTCCATAACCGGCACTAAAGGCCCTTACAAACCGGTTTTAAAGCTCCGTTTCTACTAGTGACACCTCTCAGGTCATCGGTTCGAGTCAGGCCCACTTTCACCAACCGTTGTCAGCCAAAATCAAATCATTCACGTGATCACATGTCCCCTTGATTACTCTGTACGAAGCATATAAACTACACACTAGAAGTGTATATATCGTTCAAAAAGTAGCACATTGCCGTATTGCCATGTTTTCCCAGTGGAAATTTGCAGTTTCAGGCGAGTAAGTTTATTGAGAAAGTAGTTAGTACTACAATAGTTTCTGCCAAGCGCATCGCTCAAGTGTCTTACCTTACTTTCTAAACCCAAACAGAGGAGAAAATATTTTATCATAAAGGTCTGCTTGCAATAAAAGGTATGATACAAGATCTCGATATCTTTTTCATTCAGTAACTATGCAGGTTTATGTACTATCTACCCTTCCTTTGTAGTACGACTAGGTTAATCACGCACCATGCATGTTCTGTGTTGAGTGTTGACATCAAAAGGATTATACAATCAATTCGTGATCCTTGCGCACATACCACTAGCAAGATTTGGCTGTCATCTAGGCAAGTTGTTGGATGAACCGACACTAGCTGTTCCTGTGCGTGCTTCAACTCATGTGATTTTTTTGTTACTGCCATCATGGCTCCTTTCTTGCTTAAATCAAACTTAATTACATCATCTATCATTAAAGAGATTATAGAGCAAAGAGGATCATCTACGCAAACGATATTCTCCATCCCACAGTCCTTAGCCAAAGTGTGGGCTACATGGCTTGCATCTCTAGGACAGAACGGGTAAATCACTTTTACAAAAGAACTACCCTGAATCAAATATCTTCATAAATAGGAACTGCAGCCGATGCCATAAATCCTTCATTCTTGAGCGTTGATATCACTTCAAGGGAGTCAGATTGGATCATATTTTCTGGCACTCAACTCATGTGAGTTAGTATTGCCTAATGTACTTCTGAGGGTTGATAAAATGTTGTTGCACAGTATAATGAGTTACTGTCCTGCGTAGCAATAAAGGAAGTTATTGTCAGATCGTAATTTTGAGTAATGGGATTTTT